ATCCTCTCACTCCGCATGCCAGACCTATTGTTTCCTTTTTTTTCTTTTTAATGGTAGGGGAAACCGGAGTACCTGGAGGAAACCTACGCAGACACAGGGAGAACATGCAAACCCCACTCAGAAAGGCCCTCTTCCGACCGGATTCGAACCCAGAACCTTCTTGCTGAGAAGCGAGAGTGCTATCCACTCAGCCATCGTGCCATATAGTATATTGCAAGTATGTGGAGAGATAGAGGGACATATGGCATAAAATCCCATCAAACATTTTGATTACGTTCTGTACTGTATTGTATTTATTAATTATCTTGGAGAAAAAAAACACAGAGCAAAATAGTTAAATAATCCCTGCATTTAGAGTTTTTTTTTTCTACAAAGTTTGGATGGAAAAGGGTTAATCCTTTTCCTATTCAATCATTGCAAAAAGGATTCATTTCATTTTCATTAGTTACAGTGCTCATCATGCAGTCTTTCAGCAGAGATAAGGCTCAGTGACCTTTGTGCGGAAGAAGTTTTTCATTAAAATCCTTCTGACTGAATATAGTGATGTTGGAGAGATCCTGGCTCTGCACCCGTCCTTACAACAGGCTCAGATTCCTCTTAATACATTTACCACCACTGGAGACGTCCTTTTAGAAATCTGTCCATTTTAATTCACAGACAATGGCCCTCAATATTTCACTTATATGTTCTCCATACGCCAGAGGAAGCCTGGTATTTAAAAACCTGCTGTAGGTCTTTAGTCGATGGTTCCTTAGTCGAAGAACAATGTTATACATAAACTAATTATTTTCATCTAAATTATAAGGGTATTTATGATAACACAGCACACATCTGAAATCATGACAGAACTATCTGAAGATGTTGGTATTTACTGAGGAATTCAAGATTCAAGAATTTATTTGCCATTTGCAGTAAAACCACATTGGAAAAACTGTGCAAGACAACCCCAGCACACACCAGAGCTCTTGCCATGGTGCCATGCTTTTTTTTTACGTTTCAAGAAAAAACTTTTCTATTTACTTATTCGATACTATTTATATGACTTTACGTATATACATAGTTCCCACAGACCAATGAATGTCACATGACCTCCTCGGAGACGCCATCTTTGATGGCACGCTGCTGTGTTTGTGCATTCCATTAAACAGAAGAATGAGAATAAATGTAGATATTCAAACGCAAATTGGAAAAAAGGGCAACTTTTGAGCAAATAATTGTATATTAATACAATGGCACCACAGTTTAACGTGCTACGGACATGTTTTACATATTTGATCAAATTATGCAGCAAAAATTAACAAGCAATGCAAACATTTCTCAAAACTTTAGATTTAATACCAGTTGGAGCTCCATTTAATTATTTTAATTATATTAACAATTCATTTAATTAATGCTAATGCCACACGGACACTCTGGATTGCTGTTATTGTTTATTTCCGCGTTTTTGCCGTATGTTTTGGTGAATGGTGGGCAACTGATTTTTCCAGGCGTAAAGAGCAGTTTATTTTATGACACAGATCTTTTTACAGAAGCAATGCTGTTTGTGAACATTGTTTTAGCCCACCATAGAACTATTATTATCTATTTAATACATTTACGTTGCCCTCGAGAGCCTCGGACGCGACACCGATCCTCCTCATAATAAAGTAATCTAAATAATGAAACTCTCAAGTTACCAGATATCAGCATACACAAGTTAGTACTGAGTAAATTACGTCTGTCAACACATTATGAGATACGATACGCACCTGACACAAAGTGCTCCGAGCATATTCTTGCGTGTTTTGAGGGAGTTTCTTGCCTGTTTATCTTCGCAAGCCATAACCTCCGTGGTTGTTCTGACAAAAGCTTAGTCTTCTCACATTCATGAAGTCTAATGATGGGTATACTGTAAAATCCAAGTTTAACGGAACCTCCGGCACGATTTGAACATCCATTGACCCAGCAGGAGATGACCATTTTCAACTTTATCACGACATTAACACGTTTCAGCTTCTTTTTCTATTGTTTTGCCCACAGAATGCCAACACAAATGGCGCCGGGTCGGCAAATCCCTGTATGTAGTGACGTCATGTAGGAACTATGTATACTATTTAATGATGAAAAACCAGGGAAAGTAAAGGTGCACTTTATTAATCCCCGTAGGGCAATTCAATCCTCTGCATTTGACCCATCCTGATGCCACGAAGGCTTACGTCAGGAGCAGTGGTCGCCGCAGTAACAGCGCCCGGGAACCCATCTCCAGATGTTGATGCTCGGCTTGGTCAGGACTAGCGGAGCTGGAGGATTTAACCCAGTGAGCATATTTTTAGTGATAGAAGAAACCGGAGTACCCGGAGGAAACCTACACAGGCACGGAGAGAACATGCAAACTCCCCCCAGAAAGACCCTGTTCCAACCGGGATTCGAAGCCAGGACCTTCTTGCTGAGAGGCGAGAGTGCTATCCACTCAGCCACCGTGCCGCTGTTTTATTTATAAAAACATAATTAAAACAATTTATAGCAATGTTGTGCGTATGTGCATTTGTGTGTAGGGTATGTGTGTGTGTGTGTGTGTATGGTTGTGTGTTTGTGTATGGCTTGTAAATACCCATGCAGAAGTCCTGTGAGTGCAGTTTGGTTAGTTAAATCATTTTCCACTATTTCAAAGATCATTTAACAAAATTTCCTCTTTCAAATTCAAGCCTTTCTTTGCAACATATCAATAATTGTACTTCAACCGCCTTTGAAACATGAAGAGATGCTAACACAGCAGAATGAAACTGGCCTGATTCTTGGAGTGGCCAGCCTTATTCCATTTAATCACCACATAACGCTTTAGGAGTCTTGTCCCATTGTTTAATTTGCTTACATTTTACGATACCGGTCGGAGCCCTCTTCCAGAAGTTAACTATTCCTTGGCTTGTCATCGCCACTTCATCTGTGAGTGTTATGACTGGCTTTGTCACCATAAACCCTGAGCAGACACCATCTATGCTCAACCTCGCGCCAATTAACAGTCACAGCCAAAAGTGCTTTGTGCTCCCACTCAGTCATGTCCTCTGCGCCATTTTCACCTCCCTCCATCTCCGCTTGCATCCCTTCTGTTTACCCTTCTGCCTCATCATTCTTCTCTGGGAATCGTATCTTGTTTGATTACAGCCTCTTGCAACTCCCAAATATTAAAATGGATGGCGATCAAAGAATGTAGGCGCAGTAGATGGAGGGATTTTAGACAAAAATCTGATCAGTAAGAATGTAGTATTTATTTCTATAGCTCCTTTCATATAGATGGATGGATGGATAGATACCGAAATTATATAAATAAATACATAATTCTAAAAGTTACTAATTATATGAGTAGTATGCAGAGTCATGAGGAGAAAGACAAAATCACAACAAGAGTATGTCTCAACGGATCGGATGATTTGCCAATAGCAGATTAGAAAAAAAATAAAACAAAGTTATTGGTCAAAAGGGCCAATAACAAGAACAATATTCAACTACATTCATGGACATTTATCAACACTAATGTACATTGGTCATCTGCCCCTTATGCACCAATACCTGTGTTTTCTGTTTTATTTGATTCTCTGATCTGTGTTGGCAAATTCAGCAGTTGTGTAAAGTCCTTCAAGATAACCACTGTTTTATTGAATACATCCTAGAGGAGCAAATATGATATACTCACTTTTAAATGTTGAACTTGGACCTGCTTATACAATGAAGTTTAATCAATTTAGATTCAAATAAGACTGATCCAGGGTTTTTTTTCCTGGAACAATATACACCTGTGTTCATTTGTCAATCCTGACTTACGATATTAAAGCCTGAGTCAAAACCAGTGGGGGCGGGTCCCGGCTCAAAAGTGGCCAAAATGACGTGCGCTGACATGCTTGCAATACCACCCCGGGCTGATGGGGGTGGACCCAGAAGTAGAATTAGCCAATGCTAACATATAGCATCTTCTTACCTCTCAAAAACGTCTTCACAGGATGGTCCAAAAGTTGGCTCTTGGTCCAAAGCTCCTCAGTAAAGACATGTGTGTCAATGCTGAGGTGAGTGAATTTTTTTGGACCAGTCTACTCGGTGTGAATTTTTGAAGTCACTCGTTAAATGAATGGGGCTTGCGCCGACTGATGCATGTGCAGATGCATTTTTTCACAATTTTCTTGTGGGCGGGATAGCTCCAGTGAGCACAATTTTTGGCCCATTTGTTTGAACGTCGGAGATAGGCGTGACTACGTCCGTTAATATTTACAGTCTATGGTCAAAACCGAAATACTTCATCAATGTGGCCTGTCTAACTTAACACTGAGGCCTTGGTGCGAAAAACTGCAGGGGAGAAAAAAGAACATTTAGCACATTTTCCCCATGGTTACAGAGATTTTTAATTTTTTTTTTGACTTCCTGGACATACTTGCAGTGCTGGACCGGGGCGGCTCGCAAGTTCATCTCGTGGATTCAATTGATAACTAACTTTGAGAAATTCATATTTTTGAGTAATGGAGCGATATTTGACGACCATAAAATTACTAGAATCTAGATATGTTTTTTGAAGTATGAATGTACTCCGATCATTCTCTGCTGCTAAAGTACAATATTAACATCTGTAAATTCCTCCTCCCGAAATCATTGTATGCTCCACTAGTGTAGAATTTTTGAGATTGTTGTGATTGTCAAACTGCAGGTGAAAGAAACGAGAGCAGAGAAGGAGATCTGTAGAGACAGTAATAGTGCTCAGTCTAACAGAAGCCAGACAGATGTGGGCTGCCACACGCAACCTCTGACTGCTCATAATGAAGGGCATTCAGCGTTCAGCTCTGGCTCTCCCACTGTCAAGACAAATTCTCTCACACTGGGCACCCACAACACTCTCTCTCTCTCTTTCACACCCTCCCCTTCTACAGCTCTTGCTTCTTCACTTCTTTTGGGGGAAGAACAGGGGGAAAGCGGAGGGGCAAACAGGAACAGATCTGCGGGACAGCTTGGAGATCAGCGTGGGGCTTCGCTTGTCACTTCTACTTCCACCCGTGCCGTGGACTGGCAGGCAGAGCAGCAGTGGCGTAGTGAGGCCGCCGAGGAGGAGGGGTGAGGTTAGAGGGGCAGAGGGAGGGGATGTGCGGCCCCTTTAGCGGCCAGGCAATCTGGTCCGGCTGGTCGGGCCGAGCAGAGCGTACCTGCGAGAGAGTCATGGGCAGACTGCAGGACAAGCTGTGCAGGAGGAGGAGGGGGTTAGGGCTGTCAGAGGGCATATGCTTCTGACTGGACTTGACTGGAGTCTCTAGATTTTCACTTGTTATGTTTTTGCTGCTAAAGCATGGAGAAAACATACTAAACTAGATGGCAAATAAACAATACATAATTTGATATTTTGTGACAAGAATTAACATTAATCACAGGCACTCTTGTCTAGTTTAATAAAAGGCCCTTAATTATGAGTGGGAGAGTTGGGTGAGTTCCAAGCATTACTCACCCCACAGTAGTTGTTTTCTTATATTTAGACTTTTTAATAGTAAGGACACATATGGAGGCACATGAACCATAGCTCATAAGATAAATAAAGAAAAGCCTTATTAAATGCAATACTTTTGTTTACAATAACAATATATTCTTCTTTCTTGATGTGTGGGATTCGCAGTCAAGACAAGCACATTATGTACATTAATATGCACTGAGGTACGTATTTATTTGTGTCTATATTTTGTCACCACCCAAAGTAACTACTGTTAATAGCGCAGGGTTCAGAAGTAATTTAATATTAGTTTTGTTTTTGTGCAAGAACAAGTACAAGACCTCTGCACCCAATTTGACTTTAACAGCAGTTGACTTTCTTCTTTTAATTATGTTAATCAAGAACTACCATGAAAACACATGGCAGAAACATGCATCAACATAGGTGCTAATTCTGGAATATAATTGGACCTGAGAAGAAAGGCAAATGTTTCAACTATCTATTACTATTTTTGACTGGCATAGAGTTTGGATGGGACGCCTTGTTCATCAAAAAACTTGGGCCACCAGAAGATCCATTGGAGTGTTCTTCACAGGACTTGGGTGCTGTTGTGCACCCAGCCAGATATTTATTTTCTTTGGAGATGTGATGAAAGACAACTTTTTTCTTTTTCTTTTGTCAAATAAACACGTTTTTTCAAATGATGACATCATGTAGAGCTTCTCTGGGGAGATCTCATATGTGCTGTTCAGAAATGTACAAGTTCAGGAGACTTTGGTTCATAAGAATGGACAGCGTTAACATCAGAGGGGATAAAGAACCTCCTACTACCAAATCACTCTAAGCTGAGAGATGGAAAGTTCATGGATGAGGGTCAGGAGAGTAGTTTCTGTTGTCATTATATTTCAATAATGAAAAAAAAAAATGTTTTTACGAATACACACACATACATACACACACACACACACACACACACATAAACACCAATACAAAAAACACATTAAATTGGTATACTAGGTAAAATCAGGGTTGAGGTGATTTTATAAGATCACGGCCCCACAACCTCTGGTGACCGGAGGGCCTGCATAAGCACAGTTGTTAGATATCTGGAACACCCACATAACGTGGCGTGAGCAATGACATGAATCAGAGAAATGCAACAAAACAAATACTCAACTTTGTGGTTTGTAGAGGAAGGTCTTTATGTACATATAAGATGGACGGGAGTTCAACTTGAAGCGGCACATGCAGTCCGTTCAATCCGAGACTTTCTCAAATATTTACAAATGCTGCTTATATAGCTTTGTCGGCCGGGAGGAGTTAAGAAATGTTCTCAGTTTTCCTTTTTTGGATACACAGTTCAACTTGCATTGACTTGTCCAGTTGGATGATGTATGTTGTTTGTCTTTCACGGTCTGTCTCCATGCTTCTGTGTCAGCATTGCGATCCGATATTTTTGTGAATACCTCTGTGCCTGTATTTAGTTCCCTGACCCAACAGTGAACCAACATGTTCAGAAAAAACATACTTACACTAGGTACAGAAAAACAATGAAAGACACCAGGCTGAGAGCAGTGGTGAGCAGCTAAGGAAGCACCAACCATGGAGCCCCACTATAGGAGCAGACACAGCACCCGAGGGAGAGAGGATGACGCCTAGACCCCAAACCTCCGCCAGGTCCATGAGCCCCTTATTGGGTTTCATTGAGCTCGTGGGTTAGCATTGTCCATCTACAGTCTATGCTCACCACCAAGCAATACATCATAGTGTTTTATCTTTCTCAAGTGTCTCAAAACAGCCAACACAGCAGCTAACACATGCCCTCACTTTCTTCCGCACTTCTCGATGAATCTTGGACCTATTCCCTCATCCACCCCACCCCACTCCCCGTGCGGAAATGCCTGGGGCGTCTGCAGTAAAGACTGAAACAGCTGTTTGAATTAAATCTGCATCAGTGGAGTCTAGACGCGGCCAGCTTTATTGGAGCGATGTCGAATGTCAGGTTGATGGAAGACGAGCGAGAAAGATCACCCAGATCGTTACGGGAAAAGCCAAACAGGATTCCTCACCCCTAAGCGCTCTCCAGCTTGTGTGTGATGGGGAGATTAATTGTATTTCAAGCCACATAAATACAGTGCAAAGGGATGGCCATGGATTTGCCTGTACTCTGCGATTTCTACACACACTTTTTTTGTGTGTATAATTTCAGGATTTTAGTGCACTGCTAAAATGACTTGCTGATTCTTGGAAAGACAGGAAAAAGGCTTGACTTCCACAGAGGTAATGTGTTTAATAACGCTGCTATTTATTGCCTGAAATTTCCACTGCCCCGGTGATGGGTTACTCAGTGAAATTATGACTCTAATATGATTTCTCGCAAAAAGCAAAGTTTGCGCAGTAAAATTGGTTTCTAGCAGTTCCTCTCTGAACTTTGTGAACAGGAAGTAATTATAATGTCATTTTTGCTCGGGTCTTCCATTTTTATTTCCACCAGGAAGGATTATTATAGAATAGAACAAAGTTATTTGAGAAAACATAGGATCAAAGTCACCCCTATTTTGAATGATTATTGACCAAAAGAAACATGGCTCCTAAATTATGGACGGCTCTCCCCTTTAATAAAAAGTCACATACAAACTTGAATACTCCATGGACTTGCATGACGCCCTGCTCACTGACAATTTCACAACTTTTTTTATTTTTTTAAACATATAAAATGTTTTGCATTTCTTAAAATTATTTTAACCTGTAAAGCATCTTGTCGGGTAACACTGAAAAAAACTTAATAAAAATTGTATTCCTATCACTGGTATCCACATGCATGTATGTAAGGGCCTCTGTTACATTCGCTTTTTCAGATAGAAATGTTAAAAAAAGAGGACATTGATCAGTCAATCAGCTCTCATCCCAAAGTAAAATGCTTTGTGACTCTGGTCTGTGAAAGGCGCTACATGAATAAATTCAGCTTACTGTATTTACTTACTTAAAGCTACAGATAGTGGCAATGCAAATGATGACCTGTTTTCTAATGTTGTATCCAGATTCTTTCACTAAATGCTACCTTCTGTTGCGAAAAACACAAGTTGTATTCAGAATTCGAAACCATTATTTTGTTTTGCCATTGTGAGTAACAGGAAGTCATAAACTAGGAAGTTGTAAAAGTACAAAAAGTTAGTTATACTGTACACTGTATGTATATTTATGACATCATTGAATCTGGAATTATGTAATCAAGTTTAATAATACTGGCATGCATAAACAAATCCAAGTCGTATTAATAATGAAGCGGAAAACAGTTTCCCCAGCTTTTCTCTCCCAATCTCATTCACTAATCCCATTTACTAACAAGCACACGGGAGCAAAGTTCACCCAATATATGTAAACCAAAAAAAACCTCTCCAACTTTCTCTTTCTCTCCCAACTTCGAGATCGCTTTCCCTCCGCATCGTATGGCTTCCTGCTGCTCTGCTTGCTCCCAGGCAGTATCAAGAAAAAGCTTTGTGTGCAGTGTGTGTACCGTCTCTCTTACTGCCCGTGTGGCTTCTTATTACAGCTTGTATATCTGCCAGTTTTGTGTGCAGTAGCATCGGCAGCACCCCAGCGCCAGTGTGAGCGCGCTGCAAGAGGTGCGGACAGCAATCGTCACACCGACTTCCTTTGTAAGCGAGCCTGACAGTTTGGATAACAGTGCTAGCCTTGCTTCCTACACTTACATGCGCATACAGCCACTGCACCAACATCCAAATGGTGGGGCTCTGTGTGTTAAAGGGCCCCGGCTTTATAATTATCTTACGTGCCAACTAGCATTATACTGTATATCATCAAGCAGTCTGCGTGTGTCGAGCCCAGGAGGAAGTCCAAAAAAAAAAGAAAAGTGGCAGTGCTGTTGTTCTTGCTCTAATAAGGTCAGGACTGTGGCATAGTGAATTACAGTGATTTCTGCCATATTGATAACTCGTTTTGTCAACAGGCGGGAGCACGTGCGGCCCGGAGCGGTACGAGAGTGAGGTGTACTGTATGTGGAAACGCAAAGCCTGTTGGGAAGGATGAACGCAAACTATGACTGGACCTTTAAGTATCTATTTGGATGCTTCTTGGGCACATAGAAACCTGGGTTACTGCTCAATAAACTATAATAAAGTATGAATTAACCTTGCTCTATTCTTTTATACTGGGCTGGATTTGATATTATGGGCTTTTGACTCTTAAATAATTGTTTTTACTATTTTGCTACTATCCACTATGTATTGTGGATGTATAGCATTGCAGGTGTAATGTTTTCACCATGGTGTGTTTGCCTGTCTGTCTGATTTGGGAAAACTTGGTAACTTAAATTTTTGCAGACAACCCAGAAGACAACCCAGAAGATTTTTTTAAAGAAATTGAACAGCGACTACTATTGTAAGGACTACGGATGGAAAGTAGCATGGTGCTAAATCTGGTGCAGCCATCTTTTTCAATGAAACTGCACATTGTCCTTAAAGCTAGTGAATTTCTAGACTCCATGAGTGATTTTGTAGTTGTATATGAGGTAAAAAAGTCCACAACTGTAGGAGTAACCACGCATATGTAGGGTGAGGAAAAGGTGAGCGCCAATCGGGTGTGAATAGCAGACCCTTTCCTTAAACATGCCCTCCCTAGCTCCTGAGACTTCAAAGCAACTGCGGGTTCAATTAAAGGTTAACATTCACCAGGAACACTACAACGAGACCCAGAGGGGCAATAAAACAACAGAACAGGACATCTGTGTGGCCCCCCTGCCAGACGGAGATCAGGAATCATTCATCAGCAATCGCTCAT